TGGGGGCTGGGTCTTCGCATTTACGAAGAATAAGTCGCTTTTGCAAAGTCCACTGTGTTTGCTTTTGCGACTATAGCATCGCATTTGCGATGAAGTGTAGTGTTGGTCAGCTTTGCATATGCGAAGGGGGTGTCCTTCACAAATGCAAAGGGTTTGTTGTATTTGCGTTGAGATTCCGTTAATGGTTGTGTTGAGTTATTTATGTTTATGAGTTGATATTGGGAACGGGTTGCACGATGCAACATTATTGAAATAAATTGATAATGGGAACGGGTTGCACGCCGCAATAGATATTGATATGATATTGCGATCGGTTTGCATGCCGTAACATATATTGTGAAATGATATTGGGATCGGATTGCACGCCGCAACAGATACTATAAAAAAATATTGGGATCGGGTTGCGCGTCGTAACGGAGTATGATGTGTTGTAGTTGTTTGTAGCTATAGTATTTATCTCAGCACTGCGATTCGAGTAATTTGAGATGATATTATTCTGGGACCCTCTGTTAGTAGACCTTCGGGTCTGTTCTTACGAGTTTACTTGCTTTTCTTTATATTTCTGTTGTCTTTTATTATTATTCATACAGGTTATAGTGAGTGTCCTGTCATAGCCTCGTCACTACTTCGTCTAGGTTAGGCTCGACACTTACAGAGTACATGGAATCAGTTGTACTTATACTACACTTTGTACTTCTTGGCAGATCTTGGTGTTGGTCCTAGCGGAGCGTAAAGGAGACTGCTCGGATCCGACTTCTACAGGAGACTCGAGGTAGAGCTGTATGGCATTCGCAGTCCTTGAAGTCCCCTTCTATCCTGTTTTTACTGTTTATCTAGTTTCAGGCAGTTGTACTTCATTTCAGATCATATTTGTAATATTCTAGTTGCTCATGTACTTGTGACTCCGGATTTCTGGGAGTAGCATAGACAGCGTTACTTATGTGTTTATTTCATGTATTTCAGAGTTTATTTAATTGTTAATTTTCATGATTCCGTTATAATTTGTTAAAAATTGGTTGATATTTTAGTTAACGTTGACTTGCCTACCAAGTGGATGATAGACGTTATCACGACCCCATGATTGGGATTTCGGATCGTAACATTAATACTTGATGAGCCTTTATGGGTAGAATCTCCTTATAAGGATGAGAAATATTATATTCTTGATCATACAATTTATAACATGTTGTTTTTCAAAAGATAGACATTTCAAAGGGCCCCATGCACGGATTGAATCATCTAAGGTTTCAACTGAAGTTGCTATACCTGCATCACGCTCTCTTGCAAGTACTCATCTCTCTCTTTCTCTGATCTTTTAATTTTAATCCTAAAATAAAATTCGTGTCATGAAAATCATAAGAGGAATAAATTATATGGAAGTCGTTTTGTTTTTCTTAGCGCACGAAAAACCTTCTCTAACATTCCTATTTATCGTGTTCTTTATATTAATGTACTTCTTAAAATTTATTCATATCCACTACCCTTGTCTTTCCCCATGTATCGAGAAATTCTGGTACACTTCATTTTGATTTTTTTGTTTATATAATATTAGTTTGAAATGAGTCTAAATATAGTAGCATGCTTACGAAGTCTTCGTATATTCAATCCTAATTTACTCGATTGAGGCATAATTATCGTTATTTTGTTATTACATATGTATGTTACTGTTTAACCCCAAAAATAGTTTTTGTGGTAAAAGCAATTAAATGAATATTTCGAATTTCTAACAATCGATTGGATTAATTTTTTCAAATATAAACAATATGAAAAAAGGAACAAATAATAAGGAAATAAATTGAAAGAATAAAGAATATAGAAATTTTATTGATGATCGTAGCCTTTCTTTTGTATGAAAGCAATAATTTTTCAATAATAGAGAACTATGACAGAACAATGTAATTGACAGTATTACCTAATAATTTTCGATGGGATACAAGATATGGAAGGGGGATTTAAATAGTACTTTCATTCATAACTGTTTGCCTTATTAGCTCATTCATGTCATTGTCATTTATTGTATTAATTATACGTTACATTATTGATTTGTAATGGTTGAAGTAAAGATGGCAAATCTCGTGCAATCAGGAATTGACGGATTCGTTTCATATTCGTTGCTATTAGTGTCCCTTATTTTCTAATGATCTTCTTGTAATGGGTCATCTAACTATATTAACAATTGACGGCTTCCGCATTGCCGAAAGTTCACAACCAAAGAGTAAAGCTTTTCCACACACCCGATTATTTCATTCTCTGGCTATGCATGCATCACGGATGAATATTAAGATATAACAACACTCTTGTGATGTAAATAAGTAACCAAAATCATTTAATTTTTAAATTGAGCAAAAGGTGGTTTTTTTTTCCTTAATCAAGCCACCTTGAGGGTGGGGATTAGGTGGTGAATTAATTGGTTCTTGATGATTAATTGATGAATTTCTTCGCTAATTAATCAGGTTCAACATGATATTATTAATTAACAATAATTTGACTCGACCATGCATGATCTACTACTAGTATTTAACAACTAAACCTCTTCGTCATCAATAAACAACTTAAACTTCAAGCCTCTATATGTTTTAGGATCTAAGCTATGTACACTAAGTATTTTCTTACACTGTCCGTATATCTTGATCCATTACAAAGTTTGTTTTCCCATTTTCCTAAAGTTACCGATTAATGTTTGTATAGAGCATCACCTGTCGTTGCCTTAATTTTAAGTAAGAATTTTCATACACTATAAGTATATCGTGACCTAGCTAGTATAGAAGATTGTTTTCATTTTCTAAAGTTACTAATTAATGTTTGTATAGTGCATTACCTGTAATTTTCTTTTAAGTGACTACATAGATATTATAAATATCCCCACCTCTCTAAGAATTTCGTACCCTCAAACTAAGATTTCTTTTTTTAGGGTATATTGGAAACCACCTCTCTATCTTCGTAAAGTAGGGGTAAGGTCTGCACATATACTACCCTTTCCAGACCTCACTTGCAGTATTTTACTGGGTATGTTATTGCTATTGTTGTAAACTAATGTTTTTTCCTTGTTTAAAGTTTTACTTTGAAGAATACAACTTAATGACAATGAGGAGAATTAATGGTAGTCTTTTCATGGTCTATGTGGTTTTCTTGCTTTCATTCTCTGGTATATGTTTTCTCTTCTTTCCTTCCCCCTTTCAATATTGACCTCTTCTCCTTTTCTTTTATTATTTTTTTTACTTTGGCCTGAAAAGAAAAGTGAAATCGGAAAATCTTTAACTTTGGTTATAAACTACTGCCACGCATGTACTACACCCTAGCTTTTAGTAAGATCTTCTTTTGGTTAACTTTTTTTAAACGAACAGTTAACAATAGGGTGTATCACAACACCAGCTGCTAAAGGACAGACATTAGACATTTGGTTGATTGACATATAACAAATTCCTTTGAAAATAGGGAAGTAGAAAGTATATGAAGAAACAAACTATATCGAGTTCCATAAGGTATTGTTAAAACAATGACGATTTCTGTAGCAAACAATCAAAATTGTTCCTTTATATAATTTTTTTAGACAAAGTTACATTCACTACAAACAAATTGCAAACTGGCTAAATCTATTTAGCACCGGTAGCTCCTTTATATATCCTCATCCACTTTAAAACCCCTAAGTCTCCTGAATTATATTTACAATTAAATACAACACTATGATTATTAGTAACTCTACGTTTAAGGTATTACTCCCTCTGTTTTAAATTAGATGAGGTACTTTCATTTTTAGTCTGTTCCAAAATAAATGACACATTTCTAAATTTAAAAATAATTCAACTTTAAACTCTTCATCTTATCTATTTTACCTTTAATGAAAAATTTTTATAACCACATAAATGTCATGGTCTCCTAAAGTTTTTATCTCTTAAGTTTTTAATATCACAAGTATCAAAAGTTTTCTTCATTTTTTTTAAATTTGGTGTCGAATCAAACTATATCATTTAAATTGAAATGGATGGAGTATTATTTATGCCCCTAAAATATTGGGTCCATCACTTTTAATGCGACACTAGTCCTTCATATATACCTATCATTTAAAAAAGGTTGACAAGTATCCACTAACTCAAACAAAAAAATTTACTTCAGATTTTTTATGAATAATTGTGCGGTAAGGGCAGCTACGTGTTCTTTTAGCAACTATTCCCTTTTTCGAGTCATTATATTATAGAGAAATAAATATTTGCGTGCTGCAGATGATTTTGTATTTATCTTGAGTTGAGAATATTTTTCATTAGTGGAGATCGTTTTCTGGGGACTGGGGTTCTTTTTGATGATCCAATCGCCGTTTTCAAGTTGCAACTCTTGTGTTATCTAGCATATAACAATATTAGCCGTTTAAAAGGTCAAATTTATAGATTCAGTGTTTCTTTTTTATATTACTATATTTTAAATTGATAATTTGTACATGCATTTTAAATAAATTTCTAAAAACAAATACAATATCTATATTAAAGCTATTGAATTTGGATAAACTCTTAACCTAAGCTCTATCGCTCCGCCCATGATTTTAGACATTTGGAAGATGAAACTTTTCTCGTCGAAGCTCCTAACTAATAAGCTTGCCCAATAGTTGACGTTTATATTATAATTTGAATATAATCGTGATAGTAGATATATTAGTTATCATTTTCACCAAGTAATCAAGTAATATTTGTCATTGAAATTTACATTTAATTACCTTATAAGTAAATTGATTATGTAAATATTTTTATATTGTGAGTACATAAGACTCTTTTGAATTTTCATAGTTTTGTGGGCTTCGTGAGTTTTCCCTTTTTATGTAGCTTGATCATTTTCTTTGAAGATAAGAACTTCTTAACAACTAAACCTAAGCCATGAAACAAGAATGATTTGTCAAATGTTGCTCTTTGGATAATAGGAGGATACCCGAAATGCAATTTCATAATAATAAAGAAAGCTACATAACTTAGAAGTAGTTGTATCTTACATAATAAAGAATAGTTACACAGAAATAGACATATGAGACTCATTAATTATATATAACTAAGCATCAGATGATACAATATCCGAGTTACAAACACTGCCGACCATAATACAGACTACCTTCTTATTTAGGGACTGAGGATTTTTACCAATATTTCTATTTACAAAGTTAGAGCTAAACTTTTCTCATAAATCCTACACCAACTTAAAATAAATTACCTTCTAATAAAGAGTCTAAGTTTGGTGTACTGACAGTGTATGTTCTTTTTAAAGTATCGGGTCAACTTAACCTACAATAAGATGATGGTAACGACTATTTCATATCAAATTCTTTACACTGTCAGCGTATTTAACTTAAATTCTCGAATGAATAACCTCTTGTTAGCCAGTAAAAAATGAGTTATCCTGGTTGTCCAAGCAATAAAACTGAGGAAACATCTTAGTTTCTTCTTCATCAGTCATCCATAGAGTACTATCTGGGCAATATTCCCACATAGTTGATATTGGCAAAATTGGTTTATTTTTTTTCTCATTTTCTTCTGATAATAATTCAATATCTTTCCAAATTTCATCCATAGAGTACACCTTCATGCTTTTCCCTTTCTCTTGATCACCAACTTTCTTTTTCCCTGCATTTTGCAGACTACTTTGTTCATGCACACCCAACAATCCACCAGTATCGTAGAAGTTTCTTTCGTTGTTTTCGGTAATGGGCATAAAGTCCACATCAGGACTGTTGGAAGAGAAATAAGATGAACAGTTGGAGAAAGATGAAGATGGAGAAATAGAAGCCTTATTTTTCCTGTCATCTTGAGCCTTCTTCCTCATGTGAGTTCTCCAGTAATTCTTGATTTCATTGTCGGTTCTCCCTGGTAATTTCCATGCAATTCTTGACCATCTGACACACGAAGAAATTAAAATTATATGGTAACTCAAAAAATAATGTATAATAGTATGATTTAGTGACGAACAAAACCAGAAATTCTAATAAGGAATTCAAAAGGTTCAAAAATACAATTTTTGAATTACCTTTGCTGTTACATTAGAAGCTTCCCTAATGTTAAAGAAGTTTAAAATTTCACTTGTATAAAAAAGAATATTTTATTACACTATTTGTGCCTCTGATGGCGGATCTAGTCACATGGGTTCGCGGATTCAGCATAACTTGATAGTTCGAATCGATTCATATTTAAATGTTTGAAAAATAAGTGTAGTTTGAGTCAAATATATTTTTTAAAACTCGCTCATTTAACTCGGAATCAACAACATTTAAGTTCTGAATCCACAGTATTAAAATTATCATATTAGGAAAGAAGTTGAAAAGGAGTCAAACCTATTTCCCCATTTGGAGTGGAGTTCAAGAATAAGGCGTTCTTCTTGAGGAGTCATCTTGCCACGTTTAAGACCAGGATGCAAGTAATTTACCCAACGTAACCTGCAACTCTTTCCTGTTCTTTTCAAACCTATTAAAGATATAAGGGTTAAAAATTGCACCAAGAAAAAAGGATTTCATGTCCTAAACAAGATTACCTATTCTATGAGTCTCCCTCCAACCTTTAAAAACCTGAAACTTTGGCCAAGAAATCCCATCGTCGATCTCCAAACAAGTTCACATAAAATGCTAGCTGAAGATCTTCTTGTTCACTCCACGGACCTTTTCTTGCTTCCTCTTGCGCCATTTTTTGCTCTTTTTCTGCTTGCTCCTCCCTCTTTCGAAGTATTGTGGACTTTTCCTAGCTTTACCTTTTTCTGAGTCACCTAATTACTTGGTGCATAGGATTGTGCTAATGAGGGATATTTATACTTGAAATAATTGGCTTGACATGTTTGAAACCAAGGGATGTGAGGATGGGGTTTTATGTTTCTCTTTTCTTTTAAGAGAAGATTTTCTTTTTCTGTATCCGAACTCCATTGACTCGGCTAATCCAGATTCGTACCGAGTAAGTCACTAGCTAACAAAATAAAACACTCTCTACATAAAGGTTCTTCATTCAAGGCTCATGCACGTAAGAGAGGCTGATCAAATATTTAATCTTGATTAATTCAACATTTAAGATTTTTATTAGCAATAAATTTATTTGTGCTATTAAAATTACGGGATTAGAGTTAAATATAATTTGTTGAAATTTAGGGCTTTTTCGCACATATTTATGTTTGATATCAAAAGTATATGAATATTATGCTTCATCTATTTCTGATTAAGGTCGTAGAAATTAATTTCCATCACATTCTTCTATTTTTTTTTAAAAACAAATATTACTACTCCATTAAAGAATAGAAGTGTATCTTCACTTTATAAGTGGCGTGCGCGTGCTCATTGCGGTGGAAGAAACCAATGTTGCATATGATGTAAGCCATTATGAGGAAAGAGCGTAAGTGATGATAAATGAAGATAAGAGGTTGATATGTTGATGCAACTCTCATAACCTGCTGTCCATTTCACTGTTAATTGCATTCCTTGTTGGAATTTGTCTTTATACTGACTTATATCTCTAGGAAATCTTAAACAATTAAATAGACGTGTGGAATGCACAAGTTATGCCTACTCGAATATATTTTTTTTAATATGCGAATCCATTAATAAAGGTAAAAGTGAAAAATAGTGGCTTGCATCAAATTTGGGCGGGATAAACAAGTCAAATCAATAAATTAGACGGTTATGATTCAATATGTTCAAAATGAATCGAGCCAAAATTGATCAAATAACGAGTCATTATCTAACCCGCTCGGTAGCGCTGTTCAAACTGAATCGAAAATCATACCAAATCGAATATTTAAATTAACCCGATTAAAAAACCCGACTAGGTATAAGTTTGATTTGATTTGGTATTGAGTAAAAAAATTTGAATAAAACCGATATATAAATATATAATTTTTATATATAATTTTTAGACTTTATATAGAATTTTCTTTAAAAAAAATATCAAGAAATATTTGAGATCTTCTCATGAGATGAAATATTTAATATAACTGTGAAGTGCATTCATTTTTATTTACTTTAAATAATGCGTTGTATCACTTTCTTATGCATCAATCATTTCTTTATTCTTTCATATTCATATGTCATGATTTCTTATATCTTTTTCGAATTTGAAATAGTATTTTGATAATTTAAATTTAAACAAAACATATCATTATTTAGATATAATATTGATTTTTATGTTTAATTATTAAATTCGATTAACCTTGAAAGCGTATATCAACGAAAAATTATTGTTAGATAACTAAGAAAATAATTTTCATGTGTTACGAAAACAATCTCCCATAAGAATATTTTAATATATCATATGTTTGTCAATTTTTTTAATTTTTACTAAACATATATTCACTTATTAAAACTTTATCTATAACTTTAACAAAGTAAGATTGAAATAATATTAATCAAAAATCCGACAAAACCGAACCAATCCAAACTGAAATATTTAGTTTGGTTTAGTTTGATTTTGATAAAAATCGAACCAACCCGGTCTATATACACCCCTACGCTCGGGCATGAGCCAACTCCCATTGATTCAATTCGTGGTTTGGAAAAAAAATATAAAAACTAATACTCCCTTTGTCCCTTTTTGATAATTTGTTTTAGTTTGTTCAAAAAATAACAATCTTCTATATTTAGAAAAAACCTTAAACTTCTAATCTTTCATTAATGAGATGATTAGTCATATATCTTATTTTAGATCACATGTTTCAAAAATCTTTCGTTCTTTCTTACTTAAATTTCGGTCAACACCGTCATATAAATTAGGATGAACGGAATACATAGTTTTCTTGAATAATTAACTTAAGTATTTTCAAATTTGCATGAATATATATATATAGAGAGAGAGAATGCATTATAAATTGAAAGCGTTACTTTTTTAATCCGATCCGTTATTTCTAGTCACAAACGGATCACAATATAACCCATTTAAATTTGAACGAATTGGGCGGATTATAAAAATAAAATAAAAAAATAAAAAATAAAAGGAGTTAATTTTTCCACCTTTAGATAAAGGTAAATATTGGACGAAGACATTACCGATGGATCATTAACGCTCTTCATGGTAATAAACTCCTTCTAATTAGTGCCGTATTAAATGAAATGCTAGCAATGAAATTCTCATTTGCTAAATACTCGGCATATAATTCTTCTTCATTCCAACTTTATGTTCAATTTCTTGAAAAGGGCTAATGATATATCTAGTGCTTATTTATGCAGGGAAAGGAGGGGAAAAAAAGGTTGAGTCGGTCACTTATCAGCCTGATTTTAGTTAGCGATTTAAGCTGAAGCAATTCTATATATTTTTCACTTGTTTTATATTTTCTTGAAATTTTATGTAAATTTATCTTTTTTAATATTCATTTCTGTTATATTAATATATAAAAGTTAAAAGTTAAAGATCTGAGACTTATATCCGGTGTCTTGAAACTTACGTCTTACCTCGTATTAGGTAAAACGTATTTCCCTACGCCCCAATCTTTTAAAACAATCTTTATCTCTTAATTGACGATAATTGAGATAACTGCTAGAGAATCATTGTATCGCTGTGATTTCTCAAATTAAACACTCTAACACAACACTTGAAAAGAGAGATCGGAGTCCGGAATCAAAATATGATTTTTTTGGACTCAAACGATCGAAATGTGTGGAAAAAAAAATGGTAACCAAAATATGTATAACGCCCTTTTAAAGGGCGTTATACGTGGACGGGAGGTATAGCGTTATTTATTAAGGCGCTATACATATTTTGTGGGCCCAACAATAATTCTTCTGGGCTTAATTGACATAATAATAATTCAAATGGATATAGCGCCCTTTTTAAGGCGCTATACGTAAAACAATTGTACCCCCGAACTGGTTTTTGCCCTATTTAAGAAGGTTAAGAATTTTCTAAAAATCCATTCATAAATATTCTCAAGTCTTCTGAAATATTTTTTCGTTAAGTTGTTTTGCATTTTATCATAATGTCTGAAGAGCGAAAAGTAAGGGTTTCATTATATTGGAGGTGAGGTTGTAGTGGCGAATAACTCAGTAACCTATAGTTTATCTCCACAGTGTCATGTTAAGTTGCCACTTACAATGGAGTACGATACATTGGTATCGTTGTTATGTAAAAATATGAGTGTGAGCAAACGTTTGGTGAACCTTAAAGTAACAAGAAGATATCTGTATTCTGTCACTCCGCAAGGGGTTGCTTGTTATGCTGAGTTTAACATCGAGGACGATGAAACTCTGAGAGATTTTTTGAGAACTCCGGATAAATACCGGGAATTTTTTTGTGATAAAAATATTGAAAATGTATGTCAAAGTTGAAGACGTTCGCAATAATGAGGTTGCACAAAGCAGGGATATCCCTCAGTCATCGGGTGGTTATTTTGGAGCAGTTTTAGCCGAACAGGTTCCGGCTGAAAGAGTTTGGCCTGATCTAAACTTATCTCCACGGGCGAAGGAGGAGCGAGGAAATAATTTCTGCTGTAAAGTCCACAAGACGAGTGGTAAACTTCAATTTTTCTTTGTGTTACGATGTTTATTTTTGCTGTATTGAATTTGTATTAACACTCATATATTCCACAGGGGGTACCGGCCAGATATGAATTTTACAAGTTATGTACCAACGCCTAGTTGAAATATGCCTAGTTCTGGTGTGTTGGATCATGGTGGTTCATTCGGGAGTCATCACCAACAGGATAATGTCCATCATGAGATATCAACACATTACGATTTGTAAGTGAAGTAATATAGCTATATGTAAAGTATTTATCATTTTGAGTAACTCATTATTTTGTTGGTTGTGCAGTGAAAACGAGCATCCTGAAGGTCCTGTCCTTACTCAATTGCCCGAAGACGACATATTTAATCGGGATCTAGCAAATGCACAGAGTCGGGAAGAGAATAATGATTATGACAATAATGTCGATGAGTCTGGAGATGACACACCCTTCCCTGATGAGGGTGATAATGAGGAGGAAGAGAATGTTGGACCTGATTTGATGAGGGAGCATGCTCTACCCCCGTTAGACCAAGAGTGTACGAGTCCCACGTGCCGTTAATTCAAGAAAAATTCCCTACCTTGATCATTATCCAAGTATGCCGAATGTGGATTCCCTCACAAGGTATATTGATGAAATTCAGATTGTAATGTGGGATGAATCTAGAGCAACGGTACTGTCAAAGGGCATATTTTTCCCCGATAAAACGCGCCTAACCAGGGCGGTGCTAATATATAACGTAAAATAGTGTCGTGAGATCACGGTACGCGAGTCATCTCCAGATGTATATAAGGTAGTCTGTCGTAGATAGTTTACGGGTTGTAATTGGATGTTGCGTGCGAGGAAGAAGAAAACAAATATGTGGGTTGTGAGTAAATACATTGGAACCCATAATTGTAAAATGGACACATTCAGTGGGAATCATTTTTAACTTGAATGCTGACTTGATTTCTCTTGTCTTGATTCCACACATTGAAGCGTCCATAAGGTACAAGATCAAAGAGTATATAACATCCGTCCACCAGGAATATGGGTGCACCATTACCAAAAGAAAGGTATTTCTCGGGCACAAACGTGCGTTTGAAATTATTTATGGTAACTGGGATAAGTCCTTTGCTTCTCTACCCAGGTACATGGCTGCGTTGCAATACTTTAACCCCGGAACTGTTGTTGAATGGAAGCTTGAGCGGAGTCCGGGAATACCAGAAAAGTAGCACCCCAGCTGTAATGATTCAAATCGTCTAGCCGCTCAAAATGATGTAGAAATCTCAAGCTAACTAGGTTCTCCGAAATATTCGGGAACAAAACCCCTCAAAACATAAGCAACAGTAGCAACCTCGTGTATCGGT